ATGAAATTTTTCTACCAGTGACCTTGAAATTCTCCAAATGACCTTGGGTCAAGGTCATGACACACCCTTGGGTCATGGGCAATCTTTGTGTGAAATGAGAACGTACCAAGTTTATCTATAAGAAAGATATGGACCCTACACAAATTATGAAATTTTTTTTCCAGTGACCTTCAACTTCCCAAAATGACCTTGGGTCAAGGTCATGACACACCCTTAGGTCATGGGCAATCTTTGTGTGTAATGAGAACCTACTAAGTTTATTCATAAGAAAGATATGGACCGGACAGGGAATATAAAAATTTTTCTTCCAGTGACCTTGAACTTTCCCAAATGACCTTAGGTCAAGGTCATGACACATCTCCGTGTCATGAGCAATCTTTGTGTGAAATGAGAACCTACCAAGTGTATCTATAAAAGATATGTATAAAACATGATTTATGAAAATTTTCTTCCAGTGACCTTGAACTTTCCCAAATGACCTTGGGTCAAGGTCATGACACACCCTTAGGTCATGAGCAATCTTAGTGTGGAGTAGTAGATTCTAATGTCCCTCTGTAAGAAAGATATGGACCGGACACGATTGCACAGACAGACGGACGGACAAGGTGATTCCTATATCCAACCCCCCCCCCCCAACCTTCGTTTGCGGGGGTATAAAAACATGACCTGAAAAAATGAAAAAAAGGGTAAGGCATATGATTAAGCTTTGTTTTAAAAAATGTATACTTTCTACAGTACAATCACATACATGTAGTCTAATGTCATTAATATATAGAAGATTGCCAAACAAAATATGAGAGTCCATCCTCTTGTGCTTTACGCATATATCTATGAAAGTGAAAGTTAGACTTAAAATTTCTCAATATTTAAGTCAGTTATGCGATCTGATCTGAAAATAAAAAAAACATACATGTCACAGTTAAAAAAAAAACACAACAAAACAACAGGTTGCCATGAGGTAAGTTTCACAGGACAACACTATATATATATCATGAAGATCCTCTGAAAATGTACCAGTTAGTCAAAAGCAAAAAAAAAAAAGTTTAGAGACAAAAAAAAAACGAGTAAGTCATGGGCCTATTTAGAGCAGCTTTTAAAGTCCTCGAACCATACAGGCACAAATGTACATTAGATTACCGTCCTTATAGAAAAATAAACACATAAAGAAATTTAATAGTAAAAAGAGAACATGTTTCACGTGCGAAGACTGCACATCGGACTGTTTTTCGAATAAAATGCTTCTCGTATATTAGTAATATCGTATATATTCTATCTCAGTCTACCCAACATTTTACACACATGACGAAGAAGTTCCACTGCGTGCAGAAGGAGGAGGAATGCTGGCCATTCTCTGTCACCTCATAAACATCAAATATTCGAACATCCGACCATCCTTACAAACTCACAAGGAGTCCAAGTGTTCTGAAAGTGGGGGGGGGGGGTTAGGTAGGTAGTAAAATTTACATGAAGACCGATCCTTCGGATGAGTCTGTATAAACCGCGGTCCCGTGTCGCAGTAAGTGCTGGCACGAAAAAGATTCCTCACTGCTCAAAGGCCCTAAGTGCCGGTTATAGGAATATTTGCAGCTCTCCACCGGCAAGTGGTGGCGTCTCATTATGACAGTTTAAAAATTCTCGAGATGGACGTTTAACAACATATAAACATTCAATCTGTTTAAATTTAAACATTGAGAAAGGGTCATCACCTTTAGTTTCACTGCTAAGGATAAAAGAGGACAAGTTATCTAGAAACCTTTTTTTTATATACAAGATATTTCTGAAATTATCTAGAAATCTTTTTTTTTATCATGATATATCCCACTTTTGAGTTTGACATCTGTAGCGGACAGTATACTAATACAATATACTAGTAAAGGGAACATAGATGTATACTTCCTCGCTGGGGAGCTAGCTTTTCCAGGGATGCGGTCAAGTCTCTCTCATAGTCTCTATTTCAGGCAAGTTAAGCAACGGCGAGCCTGTTTAACCCTTGGATGGGTGACCGCTCAAAATCATGGAAAGTAATGAGATATAGGCATATATCACCGCGATGCTAATGAAATGCAAAAACTTAGGAGCTTTTCAGGCAAACATAATTATGTATACTTTGCGGTGTCAACATCATTCATTTAATGATTTGTTTAATTTTGTATCTTCCATTAAGCACTATAAACCGAGACTCTGTATCATTTATTATTACAAACGTTGTTTGGGGATAATAATTTAAACAGCAAATTAAAAATAGCATTTTTTATACAACGCTTTTCATCATTTTATTGTCTCCTGATGGAATCTCACTATATTGACAAAATACCAGTAAACTTTAAATTTTTTTTCACTCTTGCATCTACAGTGTCAGGGTCTACTAAAATGATAACGCTTAAATATTTTTCCATGCATATATATTTAAAAAAAACATATCAAAAAGTTTTTCAAATCATTCGACAAAAGTGTTCATAATTTGATAAATACTCCTAGCTCTCGATCTGATTTTCCAAGATCTAGCGTTGCGTGAAAAAAAAAACCCTTTAATATATGTTTACCTGCATGTGATCTTCCTAGTGAAAATTACGAACTTGCATTTACTTCTTGCTACGTTAGATTAAAGAGTAGATCGGGATATCGTGGTGGAGAGCAAGTTCACAAATCAATTTTTCTCCGTCTATATATACTAGTATGTTACTTATTAAATTAAAAGAATGCCAACATCCACCACCTTTTATCAATGTACAGGACTTGCAAAGGAATATATTTTTGACTGTTAGCAAGTCTCCATGATAAATAAATGTCTGTTTTAGGAAAAGAATTAATTTTTTGAAAATAATTGACAATGGGTTATTTCCTGCTTGATTGTAGACGACAATTTTGCTAAAATTAATACAATGAATGCCTTACCTACATGCGTATTTGTTTCAGCTATGCATATACAAATGTATTATCAGGAGTGAATTTGTAATTTGTAGTGTGACTCGAGTTCATATTCTATAAATAAAAAAAAACATTTACCAGGATGAAAATTTCCGCACATGTTAATATTTTTAAAACGTAAAATTTAAAGATAAGATTTGGCTGCTTTCTCTTTTAAGCACGCGTTTGTGCACCTGGCGTGACATTCGATTTTATATTGAAAAGAGATGATATATGAAGCATTGTCACATGCACACTTTTAAATAACACCTGATTTCGCCTATAGAATCTAAGAAGTTTCCCTGAAATACACATTTGGAAACAATGACCAGAATATACGATCCTCGCACATAAATTCATTTGGAAAAAACACAAGGACCGCAAGTATTTTCGACGAACGCCTTGATTTATTTTATGTGTGACATAATATCCCTCTCTCTCGTTGCGGGTTCGAATCCCACCGCGGAACGTGGACACCAGTCCTTCCGATGAGACCGTTTAAACCAAGTTTCCGTGTCGCAGCAGGCGCTGGCATGAAAAAGATCCCTACCTGCTCAATGGCCCTTTGTACATAGTATAGGACACAATTTTTCTCCACACCACTTCTCCGGTGGTGTCTCCATATCAGTGAACAATTCTCGAGAGGGACATCAAACATGATATACAAACAACCTCTCTCTGCAAAATGATAGGACCGTTTGTTATCAGAATGTCCCTTATTCGCAGATATAATATCCATTTTCCAAATTTATTTAAATTCGTATGCATGAGACACAGGAAAGTTTTTCTGTTGCCTTATAAATTTAGATATCGACAACGTACATGTCTTAAAAGAAAATTAAACTGACAAACATGATTGTTAAAAAAAAGAAAAAAAGAACAACATCTCGTCTGAACAACTCAAAATGTCAAAATTTTCACTTAAGGGTGGTTTTTGCTTGACGGTCATCATATAGTTATTTGAAGGAAGGATGTCTCTTCCAAAATTGTGAATTTCATGGTCCCTAGGTCAGGGGTTCTGGTGTTAAGGCGGGGATCAAATGATAATACATTGAAAATGTATGAATTCTTTGAAATTCTTTTACTTTGCTCCTGGATATTAATGCCAATAATGTAAGTTTATATATTTATGATGAAGAAAGGTGCATCTAGCAAAATGGTAAATTTCAGGGCCCCTGAGTCAGTGGTTCCTGTGGGTTGGGTGCACAACTGGTTTAAAAGTGGAAATGCATTTCCTCTTTGTTATTCTGATCTACCAGAGTTTGCATACTAATTGTATAATTATGATAAACAATGGTGTCTCTTTCAAAATTGTGAATTTCATAGCCTCTGGTTCAAAACACGAACCAAATTCAATTGTTGGAAAGTTGTTACATGATACTCAGATGACCTATAAGGTCCGTGGGCCTCTTATACTTACATGTACCCGGTATCTTGACCGCCCTACCTCCGTACACTGTCTAGTTTTCTTAAGATAACACTATATACATGTACCTAACTTTATTTCTTTAAGGTCATTGGCAACGAAGGGTTTCCGGAGAAAAAAGGTTTATACCCAGGTTTCTTTACTTATGAAAAAAAGTCATTGAGAGTGATCTCCCGTATGGAATTCTCTAGGCGCTGAAAACAAAGAAATCATATGTAACAGATAGTCTCGTTCAACCAGACGCTCGGCTGTCTCCGTAAACTCCGACCAGCAGAGAGTCTGGTAAAGAATCACGTAAGCGTTTGTAACCGTCAGAGGGCGCTAACTTGTTTTCATTTTAAAAATCCTTTTTGTAAGCAAACGTTATATACGTTTCTTCTGCTTGATTGTTACTTTATATTAATAAAACTGGTCTTTAATTAGGGATACCAAACGAGAAATTACAATATCAATCGAAAGAATGTGTATTACACAGGTAAGACTATACTACTTTCACTTTTGCTTTCGTACAGAATATTTGCAAGACAAAATAAAACACGCTTACCTATAACTGGTGGGCATTACCGTAAACAATTCCTCTCTAACGGTTTTAACTTTTAGACATATAAATTTTACATCTTTAAGTTATTTTTCTGCTGATTTATCATGTATTTGTTTAAATCTTGTAGGTGTGTTCTTTTCAGCCAATCAAAAACTTTACCAGAATTTCGGTAAGCCTCGCTTTGGCGTTACAATCGATATCACGTATCTTTACCAGACCCTCTGGGTGGTCGGAGATTTACGGAGACAGCCGAGGGTCTGGTTGAACGAGACTAATGTAACAGACTGAGAGGTAAACAAAAGCACGTGTGTTTTTTTTTTATCGGATATATTCAACTCTACAGTAATAAAAGAAAAGCAGCGATGGATTTGTTTACATTGTGTTGAGGGGCAGACAGTTAACAGGTCGTCATTTAGAATAGGTAAATGAATGCTGGGAAGTGCAAAGGTGTGAAATAATTATGCTGAAGTGTTGATAGCTAGGTGGACCGAATGAGAACGATTCCATAGGTTATGTGAATGATGTACCATTAAAAAGTTACTATAAATCCTTGCAAAAATGTTTTTTGACAGTTCGTTTCCAATTAAGTAAATTATAGAATAGAAACAAACAACCACTCTCTTGATCATTATGATTATTGATTAGATGTTATTGCAGTAAAGGGAAGTAACTCAAAATTAAAGAAAAGTGCTGGTATTTCTGTGTTTTGTTTCAATATTCGTATTTTCAGCCAAATTATATGCATGTCATCGGAAATAAGGTTTCAACAATGTGTTTCATGTATAAACCTTATAAAATAAATGGGTTTTAGAGAAAATGTATGGTTAAAAATAATATAGGCCCATTTTATCAACATTTTACATAGGAAATGCATTGAAAATTGTAAAAACATTGATTTGACAAAATCGTTAAAGGAAGGCTGGCTTGATGGGTAAAAAGGACCTGAATTGAACATGTTTGGTACCATTAAACCTGTTCAAAAAATCTTGAAAAATTCTATACGAAAACCAGAAACGTTGCCAATGTCCTTAAGTGTACCTTGTGCGAAAAAAATGACCGGAAACTGTTAGAGGACAGACAGACAGCAGAAGCAAAGAAATATGTCCTCCATTCTTCGAAGGGGGACATAACACTTCTGAAAGTAAATACATCTAAAACAAAACAAGTATTCTTGAATGACTCAAAGGATTTTCAGTGATTGATTGATTGTTTATTGTTTAACGTCGCGCTCGAGAATTTTTCACTCATATGGACACGTCACCGTTTGCCGGTGAAGGGCTTCAAATTTAGACCCA